ATATATATATGTATATATATATGTATATATATATGTATAATAATGCATAATTACATGCACGTGTGTGAGAGTATAGCCGGCATTCCCCTCTACAACACTGTGAACGGTCACGTAGATGTACCGGAAGTTCCGTGTTGCATTCATTATTGTACATTGGTAGTGTTTATGTTGTCATCGTGACATGCCCTGTGTAACATTGACGCCACCAGCGTTAGAGAGTTGATATCGAAATAAACGTTAACCCTTTGTACAGTAACAATGTCAGTTGTTTTAAATTTATTATCATGTCATTTAGCATTATTAGACGTCTACGTGTGAAAACGAAAGTGAGCAAACAACAGGATTCTATTCAAAATGGCGGACTGTCTTCTTCTCGCATACAGATCACTACATACATGCGTTGTATGGGATGTCTCGGACTTATGAGTGCAATACGAACGTGAAAGTGGAGAATACATATTACCATTAACAATTTCATCAAAACAAATGTAACAAACGATAAAATGTAGCAACGATTTATTTATCAAATGCGGTAAACAAATATCTCTACTAACGGAAGAGACGCTGACATTTATTCTACATCATAATGAAAACCAGTTCTTCACATGTTCATGCTTACATTATTTACAATAATACGATAAGAGCCTATGATTCTTATATGAACGAATGCTTCTTGGGCATGTTTCTCTGCTGCTGTTCAAACGCAGTGGAACCTGTGGGAATCATTGACAAATCCCCAGCTGCCGCTCTCCTATATATAGACCCATCGATAAAACGCTTTTAATTTATTTTTGCTGCCTGTGGTTATACGCAGTACATACGTCCCTCGCATAGCTCCCCCCCCCCACACACACACACAGCCGCCCACCTCCCTCCCCGCTTCACTTTGTAACAATAGCATCGCGTGCATTTTGATTGATTGTTGTGACGGTGGTGATTATAGGCAAAGTTAATTCACATTACTCGCACAATATATAGAAAGAGAGAGAGAGAGCCGAGTGCATTTCGCGACTAGCTATGTGTGTAGTGATGCGCAACACTGCTGTTAGAAGCCTGTATGGTTGCAGCTAACAACAATGTCATCGCTGGTTGCTGCAGCAGGAATCCTGATCTCATTACACTCTCATCGCGTCCCCCATCACCCCATATTCGCTTACACCCTGACGGCAAATTCTCAATACCGACCGCGTGTACGATTGCGTGTACGCCCACGTGTACGCCCGCGTGTACGATTGCGTGTACGC